ATTCTTCAAAGTCTACAGCACTATAAAAATTGAATAACTACATAATACATACAATATACAAATTACACAATAACTATAAAAATTGAATGTTTTATAGCAACTTTTTAACACGTTGATCGCCACGTCACCCACATATGGGTGACAGTGTTTTTCACTAAAAAACGAAAACTATTAATTCTGAAAATTAAGTGCCGTAGAAAATGTATTTAAACGAAACACTTGAATTTTGATGAAGATACCAAACTAAATACCAAGATAAACGTTTCGTTACGCAGTTTTTAAAAGTCTGTAAAGAAAATTAAATCGCGGTAGAAATTTTCAATGGCAGTTCAATTTCTATGGCAGTGAGCGTGTTAACCAAATAAAAATTCATGCTCTCTGGGGAGCCTTCATCTCTTTTTCTCAATTCGAACATCAATGGAAAAAAAAGTGTTTATCTCGCCGTAACGAAGAAGTTCGCGTTGGAAGACCGGGCCTGTTTCAGAGAACCGCGAGAGTAAGCAGCAAACGATCACGAAAACGCAACGATTCGTAAACGATTAATAAATCCGAGAGCGTGATGCGGCGTAATTAGAGAAATGATGCGGCGTCGGCGAGAAAAAGGCTCGAAACCATCAGCTCCGCTCTATCGCGTGCCGGAGAAAGTTCACAGAGAGGGATAACGCGAACGTCACTGCGCAGCTATGCGCGACTCGCATCCACGGAATGCAGAAAATATTATTTACTCCATCGTCTGCGCGATACGCGTTCCCAACGGTACGTTTTTTATTCACTGAAATCCATTAACATTCTCAACTTTCCCTGCGAGCGTTCATTTTTTCCGAAAGGAAATTTCACGTCGCTCAGAGGACTCGAATGCGTATTATTTCAAGTTCGACGCAATCATCGTCGTTTCGCTTTTACATTTGCCGTAGAAGAACGTAATATAATTGCCGTAATATAATTTTGTGGAATAAGAATTGAACGAATAAATTCGGACACAATGTTGTGGACGTGAAAACTGATTAAAAAAGAAATATGTAGAAATGTTTACTTCACTGCTGTTGAAATTATGTTAAATAAATCATTTCAGCTTGAATATTACGAGGGTGAAAATTGATAATAATAAGAAGAAACATTATAAATAATATTGAGCATTCATTTTGCTACTCCTATCTTTGCTTTAAATGGAATTAAATAA